TGAAGCGTTCCATATATATATATATATATATATATATATATATTTTTTTTTTTTTTTTTTTTTTTTGGATACAGAATTTCACTCTTGTTACCCAGGCTGGAGTGCAATGGCTCGATCTCGGCTCACCGAGTTCGAGACCAGCCTGGCCAACATGGTAAAATCTGCCTCCTAGATTCAGGCAATTTTCCTGCCTCAGCCTCCTGAGTAGCTGGGACTACAGGCACGTGCCACCATGCCCAGCTAATTTTTTGTATTTTTAGTAGAGACGGGGTTTCACCATGTTGACCAGGATGGTCTCGATCTCTTGACCTCGTGATCCACCCGCCTCGGCCTCCCAAAGTGCTGGGATTACAGGCTTGAGCCACTGCGCCGGGCTCCATATTTTTTAATAAATTTTAAAAATTAAAAAATAATAAATAAACAAATATCTTGATTTCACTCTCCTCTCTGTCTGATCTCCTGTGACGGTCCCCAGTTTGGCCAAACCCCACCTGAAGCCAGAAGGCAAGTTGGCCCAGGAGAGGCTGGCCACAGGAGTCAGCTCTAGGACATGCAGCTCTGAGAATGAAGGTTAAGCAAAGAGTAGCCAGCCCTGGGGCCTATCTCCTCCTCCCGAGTGTGGCTTTGTGGAGGGGCTGAGAGATAAGAGTGGCTGAGCCTGTCCTTCAAAGCAGAGTCTGTGCCTGGTGATGCCAGAGCAGCTTTTCTCATCCTTCCAGGCCCAGACACTTTGTTCACGAGGCCATCCCCAGCCCTGGAGTTAATTTCTCCCATCCATCCCTGGCTTCCCTGGTTCTCAATGTCTATCACATCACTCAGCCCAGTGATTTAGCATTATTCTCTGCATAGGTTTTTTCTCCCCAGGGGATGGTTCTAGCTTCCTCTATACTGAAAGCCTCTTGCAGGCCTAGGCCAAATAAGGCTGTTTGCTCTGATACAGGGCCCAGCACAGCCCAAGTGCCAATGTTTGCCAAGTGAGCTGAATCTTATGGCCTCAAATACATCACTCTGCCCTGGTATATGCAATCTGGGCACATGTGTATCTGTCTCCCTGAGTACACTGGGGTTTCTGAGAGGTGAGTGGCCCAGACGTGGCACACAGTAGGCATCAAATGTTGCCTGAATCAGTCTAAATAGAACCATCCTTCTTCCCTTCATTCATTCAATAATTTTTTTTGGAGCTTCCAGATAGCTGAACACACGGAGGTTCCTAGGGGATGGTGTGCCCAGGGAGGTCATGGAAGCTTCATGCCCCTTCCTCCATAACTCTGTCCTACACATCTCTTCATCTGTATCCTTTAAAATAAGCCACTAAACTAAGTATGGCCATGTGACTAAGTTCTGGCAATGGGACACAATCAGAAGTGGTGTGAAGTGAGCAACCCCTCCTTTTCTCTTTCGTTGGATAGAATGAGGCATTAGAAGGGAGCTTGGATTGGTCTTGGACAGGTGTGGATTAGGGCAACAGTCTGGAGATGGTGGAAGACCAAGATGGGAGTCTGCATCTTTGGCAGATTCTATTGTCCCAAGATGGAGGCAATACTATACCCCATTCCACAAGCTCTTCTTACACTGTGACTTTGACACACCATTCCCATTAAAAGGGGGCATCTGGCCGGGTGGTGGTGGCTCATGCCTGTAATCCCAGCACTTTGTGAGGCCAAGGCAGGTGGATCATGAGGTCAGGGGTTTGAGATTAGCCTGACCAACATGGCGAAACCCCATCTGTAGTAAAAATACAAAAATTAGCTGGACATGGTTGTGCACCTGTAATCTCAGCTACTGGAGGCTGAGGCAGGAGAATCGCTTCAATCTGGGAGGTAGAGGTTGTGGTGAGCCAAGATCATGCCACTGCACTCCAGCCTGGGCAACAGAGCAAGACCCCATCTCAAAAAAAAAAGGTTGCATTTATGTTCCTTCCCCATGAGCTAGAGGCTGGGGTCTTTGTGACTGCCGTGACCAACAGAGTATGTCAGCAGTAGATCAGGCGCGGTGGCTCATGCCTGTAATCCCAGCACTTTGGGAGGCCTAGGTGGGTGGATCACGAGGTCAAGAGATAGAGACCATCCCGGTCAACATGGTGAAACCCCGTCTCTACTAAAAATACAAAAAATTAGCTGGGCATGGTGGTGCATGCCTGTAATCCCAACTACTCAGGAGGCTGAGGCAGGAGAACTGCCTGAATCCAGGAGGCGGAGGTTGCGGTGAGCCGAGATCACGCCATTGCACTCCAGCCTGGGTAACAAGAGCAAAACTCCGTCTCAAAAAAAAAAAAGAAAAAAAAACAAAACTAAGCAATAATTTTTTTTTTTTTTTTTTTTTGAGATGGAGTCTCATTCCTTTACCAGGCTGGAGTGTAGTGGCATGATCTCGGTTCATTGCAACCTCCATATCCTAGGTCCAAGTGATTCTCCTGCCTCAGCCTCCCGAGTAGCTGGGATTACAGGCATGCACCACTGTGCCCAGCTACTTTTTTTGTGTGATTTTAGTAGAGATGTGGTTTCACCATGTTGGCCAGGATGGTCTTGATCTCTTGACCTCGTGATCCACCCACTCGGCCTCCCAAAGTGCTGGGATTACAGGCATGAGCCACCACACCCTGCAAACAATTTTTTTTTTAAGGTCCTAATATATCCCAGGCCCTGTGCTGGGCTCTGGGGACACAGCAGTAAACAAGACACATATAGTCTCCTGGGGCTTCTATTCTAGTTGGGGAGGCAGAATAAGAAGGAATGGAAAATGAATAATATTGTTAGAGATTGATAAATGCCGCACAGCAAATAAACAGGGTGACAGGCATAAACAGTAAATGGGGTGAGGCATGGTGGCGCATGTCTATAATCCCAGCACTTGGGGAGGCAGTCTGGAGGATCTCTTCAGGCCAGGAGTTTAAGATCAGCCTGGACAACATAGTGAGACCTCCATCTCTACTAAATAAAGTTTTACAAAACCCAACAAAACAAAACAAAAAATAGGTGGGTGGACATTACGGGGAGGGGATGGGGAGAAAAGGCCTCTGTGCAATGTAAGCTGAGGCCTGAAGGAGAGTGGAAGGTGGTCTGGGAAGAGCTGGAAAGGGTGTTCTAGGCAGAAGGAGCAGCAGAAAAGGCCTGGCTGGGTGTAGTGGTTCGCCCCTGTAATCTCAGCACTTTGGGAGGCTGAGGCAAGAGGATCACCTGAGCCTAGGAGTTTGAGACCAGCCTAGACAACTCAGTGAGACCCTATCTTTACAAAAAATACAAAAATTATCTAGATGTGTTGGTGTGCGTCTAGTTCCAGCTACTTGGGAGGCTGAGATGGGAGGATGATCTGAGCCTGGGAGGTTGAGGTTGCCGTTAGCCATGATCGCACCACTGCACTCCTGCCTGGATGGCAGAGTGAGACTTCGACTGAAAGAAACAACAGCAACAACAACAAAACAACAAAGGCCTGGAGGTGGGAAGTTTCTGGGACCCTGGGGAATTCACGTTTCAGCCTAAAGAAGCACTGAGCAGGAGAGCAGGAGGGGGCCAGAAGGCCAGTTCCTGGGCTGGTGGTTGAAGGGGCAGGGCCAGCTCCTCTAAATGCCACCCTTGCTGCCTGTTGCTGGGCACCACAGCAAACAGAGCCGCTGGCAGGCCTGCCTTTGCTGCCTTAGCTCCTCTCTGGCGGGCAGCAGATGTCAAATGTCCAGCAGCTGAGGCTTCGCCAGCCTCCTCCCCTGGAATAGTTCAGGGGTAAGTCAGAAAATGACCAGCGGCCTCAGAACCCAGCTTTTTCTCCTGCATACCTTACAAGGGTGTATTTGGCTGCCCTGGGTGTTAAATCTTCTACCCCCTTGCATTAGACAGAGAAATATAAATATACAGCACAGGCGGTACACTCAGACGTGAGGATGAATGAACATCCAGTCACGCACAAGCACACAATCTGAGTCACACGAGGGACCATACACATGCTCCACAAACAGTCGTAACAGCCAGCCCCACACACACTCCACATGGCACCATCTCCACACACATTCACCCTGAGATCACACAATCACACATCCACATGCTTACACACAGACATGTACCCCACAGTCACACAGGGGCACACAAGCCCACACACATTCAACACCACCTCATGCTTCCCCCACCGGCCTCCCAGGCACCCCAACCCCTGGGGCTCATTGTGGTGCCGGCATTCTTCTGCGATTGAGTCAAAGACCTCCCCAGACAGGGCGGCTAAGTGGAAAAAGGAATCCAAAGGAAGAATGCATCAGGCCCAAGTCTGGGAAGGGGCCCAGCAGCTTCTCTCTTGGGGAGAAATACGTCAGTGCTGGTTTGACTCTGACACTAGTGAGCTGAGGACGTGGGGTGAGGTATGTCTTGATGTTGACAGAAGAGGGCTGAGTGAGGTGACAGGTGGAGCAGGGGAGAGACCCCAGGAAGCCTCGAAGGGTGGGGCAGAAATCGGGGTTAAATATGGACCCAATGTGATCGTAAACTCCGCAGTCCTCCCAAACCCCAGCCACCAGCCCGCCCCCAGGCTTCAGGCTGTCACCAAACTCGTGAGGTGTGGCCGTGAACCCTCCTCCCCGGCTGCGCCCTGCCCCGCCCTTCACGACAGCTGCTGGAGACAGCCCTGGAGTGCCCAGAGGGTGACTGCGCTCCTTCCCCTCGTGGGTGGGGATCGGAGAGCACCGATCGCCAGCGGACACCCACAAACGCTCACGGGCGAGGGGTGCTGGGTCCCTCTAAGCAGCCCGCCCAACCCTGCCCCTACCCTCCCAGCCTGGAACGGGAAGGTCTCTCTGGGGCTGCAGAGCCCCTTCTCTTCTGTGGGACCCCACGAAAGAAAGGGTGGGGAGACGGGTTGGGAAGACCACGGGCTGGGAAGTTTGGAGAGGGCGCTCCAGGCCCCTGTCCCCAACCCCGCCCCAGGCTGGTACGGGAGGGGCGGCCTCTCCCCGCCCCCCAGGCCGCGCGGCCTCTCCCTCCTCCCCCGGCAGGAGCCCTGGCCAAGTGGGCGCGCCCGGCTCGGGGCCGGCCGGGATCCGGTGTCGGCTGCAGCTGGCAGTGCGGCGGAGCGAAGGGCCCGCGGGCCCAGCTATTAATAACGCGGCCGCCAGCCCGGGGTCGCGCAGCCATGGCCAGCCCGGAGCCCCGGCGCGGCGGGGACGGCGCCGCCCAGGCCGCGAGGTAGGACCCTGCCGGGCCCGCGTCGCCGCCCCCCTGGGGAGGGGGTGCTGGACCGGTTCCCTTCCCCCGCCCTCGGGCGTCTTTCGCCTGCCTGGGGGTAGTGGTCCAGCCGGGGTGGGGCACTGGAACCGCCTCGTGAGGGGACGTCCGGGGTTCCGGCACCTCCGTTTGTCTGTGGCTTTTTATAATACCCCTCCGGCTCCCGGGGCTGCATGAGCATTAACCCTTCCAAGCGAATGGGCATCCACCACTCCAGTGCCATTTGGCCCATGGCAGCCAAAGACACTCTCGCGTGCCTTCATTCCTGCCTGCAAATGTCAGCTGGAGACGGAGGCCTCCCCTGCTTAAATGGCTGTGTGGAAGCCACTTGGTGCAAGGCTGGGCATCTGCCAGCTTGAAGTTAAGACTGTCAGAGCTTGTTCTCTCTGGTCTGGCCCGGGATGGGTAGGGGAAGGATTCAGGGGCCCTCCCCACTATCCATGCTGGCAGCCCACGGCTTAGTGGGGGAAGGGACCTGTGGCTGAGGGGTTTGGGCTGAGTGGCAAGTATTTCTGTCCCAGGTCATACTGTGGCCCTGGGACTTCCCAGTGTACCAAGAGGTGAGGATGCAAATACACATCTCCTGACGCCCATTCACTGTCACACAGGGGCACAAAACAGAGCGGTCTTACACACTCATACTCACCCGTACTGCTGTCCACACCTACGGCTACATAGTCAGACACACCGACTCTTGCTTGCACCATGTCACACGCACTCCAGCCACATCCCTGAACAGGATTGGAGAGCTCTGCGGGTCCTCTAGGGACAGGGACAGAGTGAGAGAGGCAGGGTGGCCCAGGGCCCAAGGAAGCCCGAGGGGCCCCAGCTAAGCTGGCTTCATCTCCCCCGAGCCTCCTGTCCTCTGCTTCTTTCCCTCCTCTCTCTCTGTTTAAGAGAATCGGCTATGTGAGGGTAGCACCCAGCAGATGCCTGGCACCATGGGTGAGTGGTGGAGGAAACACGATGTGTGCTAACTGCACAGTTTGGAGGTCAGGAGGCCTGGGTTCTACTTCCAGCTTTGCCACTCGACCTTGGGCAGATTTCCTCCTTGGAGTTCATCTGGCTTCTGCCTGTCTGCCTTTACTGAGCCCCACCCTAGGATAGCAAGCGGAATGAGAACTCTGCTTGTCCTTAGGAAACTCACTGTCAGGGAGACAGACACATGCACTTTTGTAACTGGAGCAGTAAGTGTGAAGATGTGCTGCATACAGAGTGCCCTGAGAACACAGATGGGGTTGTCTGGGAGATACTTTATGGAAGAGATGAAGTCTGAGCAGGGCTTGAAGGATGAGTAGAAATTTGTTAGGTAGGCTGGGTGTGGTGGCTCACACCTGTAATCCCAGCACTTTGGGAGGCTGAGGCAGGCAGATCACCTGAGGTTGGGAGTTCAAGACCAGCCTGATCAGTATGGTGAAAGCCTGTCTTTAAAAAAATAAAAATTAGAAATTTGTTAGGTAGGGAGGGATAACATGGGGAGAAATGCCAGATATAGGTGATGGGGAGAAAGGCAGCAAACCACATGACCATGTATGTACCTATGCAACAATCCTACATGTTCTTCACATGTACCCCGAAACCTAAAACGCAATTTTTTATATATATATATATATATATATATATATATATATATGAAATTTGTTAGGTAGAAGTATATTGTGAGGCCGGACACAGTGGCTCATGCCTGTAATCCCAGCATTTTGGAAGGCGGAGGTGGGCGAATCACTCAAGGCCAGGAGTTCAAGACCAGCCTGGCCAATACGGCAAAACCCTGGCTCTACTAAAAATACAAAAAATTAGCTGGGCTTAGTGGTGTGTGCCTGTAATCCCAGCTACTTAGGAGGCTGAGGCAAGAGAATTGCTTGAGCCCAGGAGGCAGAGGCTGCAGTGAGCGAAGATCACGCCATTGCACTCCAGCCTGGGCCACAAGAGGGAAACTCTGTCTCAAAAAAAAAAAAAAAAAAGGAGGGTCTGGACACAGTGGCTCACACCTGTAATCTCAGCACTTTGGGAGGCCAAGGCGGGTAGATCACAAGGTCAGGAGCTCGAAACCCTATCCTACTAGCTAACATGGTAAAACCCCATCTCTTAAAAAAAAAAAAAAAAAAAAAAAAAAAAAAAAGGATATTGTAACTGCTGCATGCCAGGCTCTATTATATGTGCTGTAGTTACCTCTTTTGGACCTCACACCTATACTAGGAGGATGGTAAATACCATAGGCCTTCCCCAGCCTTTACCACTTATAAGAGTGGCGGAGGCTGAGTGTGGTGGCTCATGCCTATAATTCCAACATTTTGGGAGGCCAAGATGGGCAGATCACGAGGTCACGAGTTCCAGAGCAGCCTGGCCAACATAGTGAAATCTCTCTCATCTCTTACCAAAAATACAAAAATTAGCCAGGCATAGTGGCAGGCGCTTGTAGTCCCAGCTACTCGGGAGGCCAAGGCAGGAGAATCGCTTAAATCTCGGAGGCAGAGGTTTTGGTGAGCTGAGATTGCACCATTGTACTCCAGCCTGGGCAACAAGAGCGAAACTCTGTCTCAAAAGAAAAAAAAAAGAGTTGTAGAAACTTGTGTGAGGTTTTTGGTTGCTATTGTTTTGTTTTTCAGATGGAGTCTCACTTTGTTGCCAGGCTGGAATACTGCGGCACAACCTCGGCTCACTGCAACCTCCATCTCACAGGTTAAACTATTCTCCTGCCTCAGCCTCCTGAGCAGCTGGGACTACAGGCATGCTCCACCATGCCCAGCTAATTTTTTGTATTTTTAGTAGAGACAGAGTTTCACCATGTTGACCAGGATGGTCTTGATCTCCTGACCTTGTGATCCACTCGCCTCGGCCTCCCAAAGTGCTGGGATGACAGGCTTGAGCCACTGCACGTGGCTGTGAGTTCTTTACTCTGTCTGTGCATTGGCTTCTTCATTTATAAAATGAGGATAATAGATGAAAAAGATTTTTTTTTTTTTAAAGAAGGACTCTTGCTCTTGTTGCTCAGGCTGGCGTGCAGTGACGCGATCTTGGCTTACTGCAGCCTCTGCTTCCCTAGTTCAAGTAATTCTTCTGCCTCAGCCTCTCCAGTAGCTGGGATTATAGGCCCCCACCACCATGCCCAGCTAATTTTTTTGTATTTTTAGTAGAGATGGGGGTTTCAGCTCTACTATGTTGGCCAGGCTGGTCTTGAACTCTTGACTTCAGGTGATCCACCTGCCTTGGCCTCCCAAAGTGCTGGAGTTACAGGTGTGAGCCACCATACCCGGCCCGACCAATAGATGAGGATTCTATAAATGAGTATTCATGTAAAATGCCTAGAATAATCTTTTTTTTTTTTTTTTTTGAGACGGAGTTTCGCTCTTGTTGCCCAGGCTGGAGTGCAATGGCGCGATCTCGGCTCACTGCAACCTCCGCCTCCTGGGTTCAGGCAATTCTCCTGCCTCAGCCTCCTGAGTAGCTTGGATTACAGGCACACGCCACCATGCCCAGCTAATTTTTAAGTATTTTTAGTAGAGACAGGGTTTCACCATGTTGACCAGGATGGTCTCGATCTCTTGACCTCGTGATCCACCCGTCTCGGCCTCCCAAAGTTCTGGGATTACAGGCTTGAGCCACCGCGCCCGGCCTGAATAATCTTGAACATAGTGAAGTCATTCCGAGGTGGGTGGCTCGGCAGGAGAATGACGCAAAGGCCATATGTTGGGAAAGCAGGGACCATTGAGTATCATAGTAGGTCTGGCTGGTGGAACAGGTGCATCCTTCCTGGCCTTGGCTCTAGGAGCTCTGCCTTCCCAGGTAGAACAGGGTTGTTTTCTAGTTACGTGGTTTTTGAGAAGCTGCATTTCTCAGCTGGACACTGTGGGCTAAGAGTAGGAGGTGTAAAAAGTTAATGCATGCTCTGGGATGTCAAGCATTGGGTGGGTTGCAGGAAGAATGTGAGATGAAGCTAAAAAAGGCATGTTTGGGCCACATCTTTAAGGACCTTGGAACTATGCCCAGCAGTTTGGGTATTTCTTGGTGAAGTGGAGCAATAGTTCACTCTGTGTTGTACCAAGTTAACTGTGGTGGTGTAGAGAATAGATTGGGTTGAGGAGAGGAGGAGGTCCTGTTAGAAAACCAGGACAAGGCCGGGCGCGGTGGCTCACGCCTGTAATCCCAGCACTTTGGGAGGCTGAGGCGGGTGGATCACAAGGTCAAGAGATCGAGACCATCCTGGACAACATGGTGAAACCCCGTCTCTACTAAAAATACAAAAAAAAAAAAAAAAAATTAGCTGGGCATGGTGGCGCGTGCCTGTAGTCCTAGCAACTCAGGAGGCTGAGGCAGGAGAATTGCCTGAACCCAGGAGGTGGAGGTTGCGGTGAGCCGAGATCTCGCCATTGCACTCCAGCCTGGGTAACAAGAGCGAAACTCCATCTCAAAAAAAAAAAAAAGAAAAGAAAAGAAAACCAGGACAAAAGTGCCAGTGAGACTTGGAGTAGGGCCCTGATAGTGGGAAGCAAAGAGAGGGATGGAGACTCTAGTCTTTCTGAGATAGCAAGGTCACTTCTTGGTGGGTGCGTTGGCTCATGCCTGTAATCCCCAGCACCTGGGGAGGCCGAGGCGGGTGGATCATGAGGTCAGGAGATCAAGACCATCCTGGCCAACATGGTGAAACCCAGTCTCTGCTGAAAATACAAAAATAAGCTGGGCGTGGTGCTGTGCACCTGTAGTCTCAGTTACTAAGGAGGCTGAGGCAGGAGAATCGCTTGAACTGGTAGGCAGAGGTTGAAGTGAGCTGAGATCGTGCCACTTAACCTAGTCTGGGCGATAAAGCAAGACTCCATCTCAAAAAAAAAAAGAAAAGAAAAGAAAAGAAAAGAGCCGGGCGCAGTGGCTCAAGCCTGTAATCCCAGCACTTTGGGAGGCTGAGGGGGGTGGATCACGAGGTCAAGAGATCAAGACCATCCTGGTCAACATGGTGAAACCCCGTCTCTACTAAAAATACAAAAAAATTAGCTGGGCATGGCGGCGCATGCCTGTAATCCCAGCTACTCAGGAGGCTGAGGCAGGAGAATTGCCTGAACCCAGGAGGCGGAGGTTGTGGTGAGCCGAGATCGCACCATTGCCCTCCAGCCTGGGTAACAAGAGCGAAACTCCGTCTCAAAAAAAAAAAAAAAAAAAAAAAAAAAGAAAAGAAAAAAGAAAGGTCCCTTCTCAATGAACTGGCTATATAGGGGAAGGAAAGAGCTGTCCAAAGATTTCTTGCCTATGGCTGGATGCGGTGACTCATGCCTGTAATTCCAGCACCTTGGGAGGTCTAGGTGGGAGGATCTCGAGCTCAGGAGTTTGAGACCCGCCTTAGTAATATGGTAAGACTTCATCTCTACAAAAAGTTACAAAATTAGTGGGTATGGTGGTGCGTGCCTGTAGGCCTGGCTACTCGGGAGGCTGAGGGAGGAGGATTGCTTCAGCCAGGGAGGTTGAGGCTGCAGTGAGCTATGATCACGCCACTGTACTCAGGCCTGGGTGACAGAGGGAGACTCCATCTCAAACAAAACAGAAACAGGTAAGATCAAAGCCATTTGAATTTGAGGGGCAAAACAGTAAGAGAGCACTCCCCAGGGGAACTGACTGAGCTGGCAGGTAATAGGCAGCTGGGTCAAAGAACTCACATGTTGAAACGACAGAATCTGAATTCAAGAACCTTTGACAGACTAGAAGGGTGGGCCAGTTCTTTTTTATTTTTGAGTCAGAGTCTCGCACTGTAGCTTGGGCTGGAGTGCAATGGTCTGATCTCGGCTCACTGCAACCTCCGCTTTCTGAGTTCAAGTCATTCTCCTGCAGAAGCCTCCCAAGTAGCTGGGATTACAGGTGCCCACCACCAGACCCAACTAATTTTTTGTATTTTTAGTAAAGACAGGGTATCACTGTGTTTCCCAGGCTGGTCTCTAACTCCTGACCTCATGATCCATGGGTGGGCCAGTTCTAACCAGATAAACTTTTACAGGAACAAGAAACTGTTGCTTACAAGCACTTGGTATGAAAAACTCTTAAGGATTTGGTCAAAGTCAGCACTTGTCAATAATATGTTATATAGCTGGGCACGGTGGCTCACACCTGTAATCCCAGCACTTTGGGAGGCCAAGGCAGGAGAATCGCTTGAGCCCAGGAATTCAAGACCATCCTGAGCAACATGGTGAAACCTCATCTCCACAAAATGTACAATTAGCCTGGCGTGTTGGTGTGCACCTGTAGTCCCAGCTACTCGGAGGCTGAGGTGGATCACTTGAGCCAGTAGGTCAAAGCTGCAGTGACTGTGATCACACCACTGCACTCCAGTGAGTGCAGTGCAACAGAGTGAGGCATTGTCTCAAAAAACGAAAAAAGAGGCCGGGCGCGGTGGCTCAAGCCTGTAATCCCAGCACTTTGGGAAGCTGAGGCAGGTGGGTCACCTAAGGTCTGGAGTTCCAGACCATCATAGCCAACATGGTGAAAGCCTATCTCTAATAAAAATATAAAAATTAGCCGGGTGTGGTGGCACATGCCTGTAATTCCAACTACTTGGGAGCCAGAAGCAGGAGAATCGCTTGAACCCAAGAGGCATCAGTTGCAGTAAGCAGAGATCACACCACTGCACTCCAGTCTATCGACAGAGCAAGACACTGTCTCAAAAAAGAAAGGAAAAAGAAAAAAAGAAAATATGATGGAGCTGCCTTATATGCCAAGGGAGCCTTGCTGCCTCCAGATTCTTCCAGGAATAAAGTGTCCAGAGACTTCACTACTCAAGCATGCCTGGGGCACTGTTTTTTGTTTTTGTTTTTGCAACGGAGTCTGGCTCTGTTACCTAGGCTGTGGTGTGATCTCAGCTCATTACAACCTCTGCCTCCCGGGTTCAAGTGATTCTCGTGCCTCAGCATCCCGAATAGCTGAGATTACAGGTGTGTACCACCATGCCCTTCTAAGTTTTATATTTTTAGTAAAGACAGGATTTCACCATGTTGGCCAGGCTGGTCTTGAACTCCTGACCTCAGTTGATCCACCTGTCTTGGTCTCCTAAAGTGCTGGGATTATAGACATGAGCCCTCCCACCTGGCCCTGAGTCACTGTTTTTGATACCCATCCCCAATTTCAAGCTCTGGGGGAACTTAAGAATAAAGGTAAATTAAAAAAAAAATTCCTCAAGACAGTGACAGTCTGAAAGCTGTCATTTATGTCACAAGGATATCACACAAATGAAGAGGGCGCTGGAAACCTGGCCATGTATAGAATAACAAGGATAAGCTGGCTTTGATTTTTTTTTTTTTTTTTGAGACGGAGTTTCGCTCTTGCTACCCAGGCTGGAGTGCAATGGCATGATCTCGGCTCACCGCAACCTCTGCCTCCTGGGTTCAAGCAATTCTCCTGCCTCAGCCTCCCGAGTAGCTGGGACTACAGGCACGCGCCACCATGCCCAGCTAATTTTTTGTATTTTTAGTAGAGACGGGGTTTCACCATGTTGACCAGGATGGTCTCGATCTCTTGACCTCATGATCCACCAGCCTCAGCCTCCCAAAGTGCTGGGATTATAGGCGTGAGCCACCGCGCCCAGCCCTGTTTTGTTTTTTTTTTTTTTTTTTTTTAGATAGAGCTTTGCTCTTGTTGCCCAGGCTAAAGTGCAATGGCATGATCTTGGCTCACTGCAACCTCTGCCTCCTGGGTTCAAGAAATTCTCCTGCCTCAGCCTCCTGAGTAGCTGGGATTATAGGCATGTGCCACTATGTCCAGCTAATCTTTTTATTTTTATTTTTTAACTTTTTTGAGACAGTCTCACTCTGTCGCCAGGCTGGAGTGCAGCGGCACAATCTTGGCTCTCTGCAACCTCCGACTCTCTGGTTCAAGTGATTCTCCTGCGTTAGCCTTCTGAGTAGCTGGGCTTACAGGCACGCACTACCACACCCAGCTAATTTTTGTATTTTTGGTAGAGACAAGGTTTCACCATGTTGGCCAGGATGGTCTCGAACTGCTGACATTGTGATTTACCCTCCTTGGCCTTCCAAAGTGCTGGGATTACAGACGTGAGCCACTTCGCCCAGCCAATCTTTTTTTTTTTTTTTTTTTTTTTTTTTTTTTTAGTAGAGACAGGGTTTCTCCATGTTGGTCAGGCTGGTCTTGAACTCCCGACCTCACCTGCCTCGGCCTCCCAAAGCGCTGGGATTACAAGTGTGAGCCACTGTACCCGACCATTTTGTTTTGTTTTTTTTTTGCCCTGCCTCCCCCTCATTTTGTTTGTTTTGTTTAAAGACAGAGTCTCTGTTGCACAGGCTGGAGTGCAGAATGGTGCAATCATAGCTCACTTCAGCCTCAACCTCCCAGGCTCAGGTGATTCTCCCACCACAGCCTCCCGAGTATCTGGGACTAGAGGTGTGCGTTATCATGCCTGGCTAATTTTTATGTTTTTATTTTTATTTATTTATTTATTTATTTTTTTGGAGATGGGGTTTTGCCATGTTGCCCAGGCTGGCCTCAAACTCCTGGACTCAAGAGGTCTTAGCCTCCTAAAGTACTGGGCTTACAGACATGAGCCACTGCACTTGACCATAGTTATTTTTTTTAAGTGTTTACAGAAATTACATGGCAAGAAGGTAGAAATATCTGATCCTAGAAGGAAGAATCAGGTAAATCCAGTGGCCAAAAGTTATAAGGAAGGGCCGGGTGCTATGGTTCATGCCTGTGATCCCAACACTTTTGGGAGACTGAAGAGCGCGGATCACATCAGGTCAGGAGTTCAAGACCAGCCCGGCCAACATGGTGAAACCTTGTCTCTACTAAAAGTACAAAAATTAGCGGGGTGTGGTGGTACATGCCTGTAGTCCCAGCTACTTGGGAAGCAGAGGCTGAAATGGCACCACTGCACTCCAACCTGGGTGACAGAGGGAGACTCTATCTCAAAGGAAAAAAAAAGTTGCAAGGAAGGTTTTACCTCAACAATATAATTTTACTATAACTGGGCCAGGCGCAGTGGCTCATGTCTGCAATCCCAGCACTTTGGGAGGCCAGGTGGGTGACCTGGAGTTTGAGGACAGCCTGGCCAACATGGCAAAACCCCATCTCTACTAAAAATACAAAAATTAGCTGGGCATGGTGGCACATGCTTGTAATCCTAGCTACTCTAGAGGCTGAGGCAAGAGAATTGCTTAAACCCGGGAGGTGGAGGTTGCAGTGAGCCGAGATTGTGCCACTGCACTCCAGCCTGGGCGACACAGTGGGATTCCATCCCCCTAACAACAAAAATTTTTTTTATCGTAACTGTGGAACAAACAGTGGTGTCTCAGGTATCTTGAGTCCTTGGAGCTGCATAAGCAGAGAGCACGTGGAGATGTTGCTAGGTTGCTGGCTGGGGATCCACACAGTGGTTGGGTGTGTGGAGGGGTGGATTGACAGAGTGGAGGGAGCAGACAAGTGGCTGCTGACATCTAAGACCCTGAGGTAGTCTAGGCCCATGGCTGCTGTCCAGGTTTGCACCGTCCTGGGATTGTGGCTGCCCTTTCACTTCCAATCATTTCTTTTGCAGGAAAACAAGAGCAGAGGCCAATTCTCCTCTTCAAGAGAACCCTGAATCCCTAAATGAGGCAGAGGCCTTGAACCCAGAAGTTACTCTATCTTCAGAGGGGACCTTAAACCTAGAAGACGTTCTCTACCTGGAGGACACAGGTGACATTGATGAGACACTCTATGTGCAAGAGACCGAGAAGCCAGAGGAGGCCCTGTATATTGAGGAGGCCATGCAGCCAGATGAAGCTCTGTATGTGGAGGAGTCTGGGAATCCAGAGGCAGTGTGTGTGGAGGAAACCATGGAGCCAGATGGGATACAGTTTGTGGAGGTGCCCATGGAGCCAGGAAGGCCCACAAGCCCAGATCAGGTTGTTTGTGAGGGAGAGACGGTCACAAGGGCGGAGAAATCTAACCCTGAGGACAGCCTGAGAGCCGAGCCGAGCCCCAGTATGGAGGAGGAGAATCTGAGCATAGAGGACCTGGAATTGCTAGAGGGGCGTTTCCAGCAGTGTGTCCAAGCTGTGGCCCAGCTGGAAGAGGAGAGGGATCAGCTCATCCATGAGCTTGTGTTGCTCCGGGAACCAGCCCTGCAGGAGGTGCAGCAAGTCCATCAGGACATCCTGGCTGCCTACAAGCTCCACGCCCAAGCGGAGCTGGAGAGAGATGGGCTAAGGGAGGAGATCCGGCTGGTCAAGCAGAAACTGTTCAAGGTGACGAAGGAATGTGTGGCCTACCAATACCAGCTGGAGTGCCGCCAGCAGGAAGTGGCTCAGTTTGCCGATTTCCGGGAAGCACTGACTACGAGGGTGGCCCAGCTCTCAGAGGAACTGGCACAGCTCCGGGATGCCTATCAGAAGCAGAAGGAGCAGTTGCGGCAACAGCTAGAGGCCCCTCCAAGCCAGAGAGATGGGCACTTTCTCCAGGAGAGCCGGCGACTCTCTACCCAGTTTGAAAATCTCATGGCAGAGAGCCGCCAGGGCCTGGAGGAGGAGTACGAGCCCCAGCTCCTGCGGCTCCTAGAGAGGAAAGAAGCTGGGACCAAAGCTCTGCAGAAAACCCAGGCTGAGATCCAGGAGATGAAGGAGGCTCTGAGACCCCTACAAGCAGAGGCCTGGCAGCTCCGACTACAAAACAGGAACCTGGAGGACCAGATTGCACTTGTGAGGCAAAAACGAGATGAAGAGGTGCAGCAGTACAGGGTAGGCCCATTGGGCATGAAAGGAACTGAGGTCTTTTAACTTGGAGAAAGGGTGGCCAGAGTACAAGGTCTTTGGGGCTGAAGGATACTGTCACATGTAGGAGGAAAAATTTGTTCTTTGGCGCCATCCTTTTTTTTTTTTTTTTTTTTTTTTTATTTTAATTGAGACAGGGTTTCACCATGTTGGCCAGGTTGGTCTCGATCTCCTGACCTTGTGATCCAGCTGCCTTGGCCTCCCAAAGTGCTGGGATTACAGGCATGAGCCACCACGCCTGGCCAAGGGGCCATTCTTTTTTTTTTTTTTTTTTTGAGACGGAGTTTCGCTCTTGTTACCAGGCTGGAGTGCAATGGCGCGATCTCGGCTCACCGCAACCTCCGCCTCCTGGGCTCAGGCAATTCTCCTGCCTCAGCCTCCTGAGTAGCTGGGATTACAGGCACGCGCCACCATGCCCAGCTAATTTTTGTATTTTTAGTAGAGACGGGGTTTCACCATGTTGACCAGGATGGTCTCGATCTCTTGACCTCATGATCCACCCGCCTCGGCCTCCCAAAGTGCTGGGATTACAGGCTTGAGCCACCGCTCCCGGCCTGTATTTTTTTTTTTTTTTTAAGAGATGGGGTTTCACCATGTTGGCCAGGCTGGTCTTAAACTACTGACCTCAGGTGATTCATCCTCCTCAGCCTCCCAAAGTGCTGGGATTACAGGTGTGAGCCACTGTGCCCAGCCTAATTTTTGTATTTTTGTATTTTTTTTTTTTTTGAGACGGAGTTTCGCTCTTGTTACCCAGGCTAGAGTGCAATGGTGCAATCTCGGCTCACCGCAACCTCCTGGGTTCAGGCAATTTCTCCTGCCTCAACCTCCTGAGTAGCTGGGATTACAGGCACGTGCCACCATGCCCAGCTAATTTTTTGTATTTTTAGTAGAGACGGGGTTTCACCGTGTTGACCAGGATGGTCTAGATCTCTTGACCTCGTGATCCACCCGCCTCAGCCTCCCAAAGTGCTGGGATTACAGGCTTGAGCCACCGCGCCCGGACGTAATTTTTTTTTTTTTTTTTGAGATGGAGTTTTGCTCTTGTTACCCAGGCTGGAGTGCAATGGCGCAATCTCGGCTCACCGCAACCTCTGCCTCCTGGGTTCAGGCAATTCTCCTGCCTCAGCCTCCTGAGTAGCTGGGATTACAGGCACACGCCACCATGCCCAGCTAATTTTTGTATTTTAGTAGAGACGGGGTTTCACCATGTTGACCAGGATGGTCTCGATCTCTTGACCTCGTGATCCACCCGCCTCGGCCTCCCAAAGTGCTGGGATTACAGGCTTGATCCACCGCGCCCGGCAATTTTTGTATTTTTAAGTAGAGACAGGGTTTCACCATGTTGGTCAGGCTGGTCTTGAACCCCTGCCATTGTGATCTGCCTGCCTTAGCCTCTCAAAGTGCTAGGATTATAGGTGTGAGCCACCACACCTGGCTGGGGCCACTCAATTTTCTTCTCCATTCTTCATTCATTCACGCCCATGCTAGGGACAAAAAGTTATGTGCGCTGTTTTTTTTCAACAGGGTCTTGCTGTCACTTACGCTGGTGCAGTGACATTATCACAGCTCACTGCAGCCTTGACCTCCCAGGTTCAAGCAATCCTCCTACCTCAGCCTCTTGAGTAGCTGGGCCCACAAACATGTACCACCATGCCCAGCTAATTTTTTCTTTTTTGAGACAGGTGCAATCTTGGGGGCTCACTGCAGCCTCAAACTCCTGGGCTCAAGAGATCCTCCTGTCTCAGTTCCCCAAGCAGCTGGGACTACCAGTGTGTGACACCACGCTTGGCTAATTTTTTGTAGAGATGGGGTTTCACCATGTGGCCCAGGCTGGGCTTGAACTCCTGAGCTCAAGCTATCCCCCTGCCTTGGCCTCCTGAAGAGCTAGGATTTATAGATGTGTGCCACCGCAGTTGGCCAATTTCTGTATTTTTTGTAGACAGGGTTTTGCCATGTTGCCCATGCTGGTCTTGAAATCCTGGACTCAAGTACTTTTAATGGCAAAAGCTGCAATTAATTTTGTAGCAACTTTAATAGAACAGCCTCATCTTCATTTTCCTTTTATGTGCATTTGTCCCCACCTCTCTTGTATTCAAGTTATTTCTGATTAAGTGTGAGCCAGTTCTAATCCCTTTTTAGAACAGAGTGGGATATAAATACTAAGTGAATAAACAATTACGTAGTCCCTCCTAGACTGTGAGCTTTCAGAAGGTAGGGAATACATTTTACTTATCGTTGTATCACTCTCTGCAACTCGTGGCTCAGAGCACATGTCAAGTTAGGTGCTGCTGGGCACTAATGAGAAGACTATAGTGTGGTGCTCTAAGCAATATTTTAATCTTTTGGAACACTCATTCCACTGGATAAACTGAAAAATCTATGTCCCAGAGATTTTGATATGCCCTTAAGGGAAAAAGTTTCCTTGTTGAAGCCGGGCGCGGTGGCTCAAGCCTGTAATCCCAGCACTTTGGGAGGCTGAGGCAGGTGGATCACAAGGTCGAGAGATCGAGACCATCCTGGTCAACATGGTGAAACCCCGTCTCTACTAAAAATACAAAAAACTAGCTGGGCATGGTGGTACATGCCTGTAATCCCAGCTACTCAGGACGCTGAGGCAGGAGAATTGCCTGAGCCCAGGAGGCGGAGGTTGCGGTGAGCCGAGATCGCGCCATTGCACTCCAGCCTGGGTAACAAGAGCGAAACTCCATCTCAAAAAAAAAAAAAAAAAGTTTCCTTGTTGAAATGGCTGCATTGACTTATTGACTTCACTGAATATTTTGTCAAGCTTTCTGTAGTCTGTATTATGAAAACCTGGGGGCCAGGTGTGGTGGCTCACACCTATAATCCCAACACTTTGGGAGGCCAAGGTGGCCAGATCATGAGGTAAGGAGCTTGAGACCATCCTGGACACGGTGAACCCCGTCTCTACTAAAAATACAAAAAAACTAGCTGGGCATGGTAGCAAGTTCCTGTAGCCCCAGCTACTTAGGAGGCTGAGGCAGGAAAATTGCTTGAACCTGGGAGGCAGAGGTTGCACTGAGCCAAAATCATGCACCTGCACTCCATCCAGCATGGTGACAGGACAAGACTCCTGTCTCAAAAACAAACAAAAACTAGGGTAATCCCAGCACTTTGAGAGGCTGAGGAGGGCGGGTCATGAGGTCAGGAGTTCTAAGACCGGCCTGGCCAACACAGTGAAACCCCGAGGAGGCTGCAGTTAGCTGTGATCGCACTACAGCACTCCAGCCCAGGCAACAGACTGTCTCAAAAAAAAGAAAAGAAAAGAAATTGTGTGTGTGTGTGTTGGGTGAGAGGGGGAATATTGCCTTCAAAGAGTTTGTAATCCAGAAGTAAGGAAACAGACAAAATGAATTTATTTCATAAAATCTAAGCACTGTTGATTTTAACATACATCCTGATCTGAGATGTTAAAATGTCAGTCTTGAAATCAATGAAACATTTCAATGTGGTAAGCACGGTAACAGCTGTAGTGATGAGGCACTGTCCTGATGAAAACAGGCATGACTACCCAAACCTGGGCAAACAAGGAGACATTTCATACATCAACAATAGCTAGGCCGGGCGCGGTGGCTCCAGCCTGTAATCCCAGCACTTTGGGAGGCCGAGGCGGGTGGATCACAAGGTCGAGAGATTGAGACCATCCTGGTCAACATGGTGAAACCCCGTCTCTACTAAAAATACCAAAAAAAATTAGCTGGGCATGGTGGCGTGTGCCTGTAATCCCAGCTACTCAGGAGGCTGAGGCAGGAGAATTGCCTGAGCCCAGGAGCCGGAGGTTGCGGTGAGCCGAGATCGCGCCATTGCACTCCAGCCTTGGTAACAAGAGCGAAACTCCGTCTCAAAAAAAAAAAAAAAAAGAGATCTAGACCATCCTGGTCAACATGGTGAAACCCCGTCTCTACTAAAAATACAAAAAATTGGCTGGGCATGGTGGCGCATGCCTGTAATCCCAGCTACGCAGGAGGCTGAGGTAGGAGAATTGCCTGAACCCAGGAGGCAGAGGTTGCGGTGAGCCGAGATCGAGCCATTGCACTCCAGCCTGGAAAACAAGAGTGAAACTCCATCTCAAAAAAAAAAAAAAAAAAAAAAAGCTAGAATATATTTCAAGTTTCTTTTTTCTTTTTTTTTTTTTTGAGACAGAGTTTCGCTCTTGTTACCCAGGCTGGAGTGCAATGGCGCGATCTCGGCTCACCGCAACCTCCGCCTCCTGGGCTCAGGCAATTCTCCTGCCTCAGCCTCCTGAGTAGCTGGGATTACAGGCACGTGCCACCATGCCCAGCTAATTTTTTGCACTTTTAGTAGAGACGGGGTTTCACCATGTTGACCAGGATGGTCTCGATCTCTCGACCTTGTGATCCACCCGCCTCGGCCTCCCAAAGTGCTGGGATTACAGGCTTGAGCCACCGCGCCCGGCTTTATTTCAAGTTTTTTACACAAAATAATTACTTTAGGGCCAGGTGTGGTGGCTCATGCTTATAATCCCAGCACTTTGGGAGGCTAAGGCAGGCAGAAAACCTGAGGTTGGGAGTTTGAGACCAGCCTGACCAACATGATGAAACTAAAAATACAAAACTTAGCTGGGCATAGTGGCACCTGTAATCCCAGCTACTCAAGAGGTTGAGGCAGGAGAATCGCTTGAACCTGGGAGGCAGAGGTTGCTGTGAGCCAAAGTTGTGCCACTGCACTCCAGCCTGAATGACAGAATGAGACTCCATCTCAAAAAATAATTATTTTAGTCCTTACATCTCTATGAGTTAGTGAAAAGGCATTTGAAAAATGAGAAAAAGAGGTAAGGCAGAGCAGTGATTTGCCCAGGGTTAGGCAGCTTGAGAGTGATGGAGCGAGGATGTAACTCCTGAGCAATCTAGCTTACGCCCATACTCAGGCTCTACAGGATGCTGGAGCTAGCCTTAGGAATGAATTCACGCCAGGCACAGCTCAATCCTGTAATCCCAGCATTTTTGGAGGCTGAGGCAGGGGTATCACCTGAGGTCAGGAGTTCCAGACCAGCCTGACCTATATGGTGAAACCCCGTCTCCACTAAAAATAAAAAAATTAGGCTGCCTGTAGTCCCAGCTACTCGGAAGGCTGATACAGAATTGCCTGAACCCAGGAGGCAGAGGCTGCAATGAGCTGAGATGGCACCATTGCATTCTAGCCTGGGAACAGAGCAAGACTCCATCTCAAAAAAAAAAAAAAAAAAAAAAAAAAAAAAAAAAAAAAAATACACTGGGCAGGTAAGGGAGAGGTCTTCCAGGCAGAGGGAACAGTTCATACAAAAGCATGGAAACACAAAAAGATGTTTTGAGAAGTGAGCTTACTGTGGCAAAACAAGGAATGCAGGAACTAGATCTAGCTGGGACTGAACAGTTTTATGTATTCCTTACACCAGGAGTTTCCAAAAAAGGTTTTCTCTAAAGCCATGGACCTTCTCCCCCAGAGAATTTAATGCAGAATGCCAATATATAAAACAGGTAAAAGTGGAGTTCTTCTCTAACTCAAAAGTACCAAGGACACTCCAATTTGGCCAGCTCTTGGGGTTTCACAAAAAAGTCTTGAGAACCACTATAGAGCCTATTACCTTGAGTATGAGCTCTAAACCAATGGCAAATCCTGGCTCCATCACTAAGTTGGAAACTTTGGACAAATTACTTAAGCTCTGTGGCTCAGCACCCTCACATGTAACATGAGATTAATAATAACATAAGCCTACTACTACTACTACAGTATTATTAATGGACTAGACCTCTTCCCCTTTAACTCTTACTCGTTTTTTTTGAGACAGTCTTGCACTGTCACCCAGGCTGTAGTGCAGTGGAGTGATCTCGGCTCACTGCAACTTCCGCCTCCTGGGCCTCAGCCTCCTGAGTAGCTGGGACTATGGGATTTTACCATGTTGGCCATGATGGTCTTCATCTCCTGACCTCATGATCTGCCTGCTTCGGCCTCCCAAAGTGCTGGGATTACAGGCATGAACCACCAAGCCTGGCCTTCTTACTCATCCTTTAAACCCAAGTTTCACTTCTTCCTGAAGTTACCCGATATCCTTAGTGTGCAACAGATAACCCTCCTGTTTCCCACAGCACCTATTACTTCATACTACTACGGCTATAGCAGTTCCCTCTTCCCTGAGTTGGGGAATGTATCCTTTCTCTGTCTTTGGCCTAGGTAGAAAATTAAAATTGGGAATGCTGTCAATGCAAATGCTGGGGCTACTGTAGACAGACATGTACTGGCCCTTGAGAAATGAGTAGTATGTAGGTAGAAAGCAGCAGAGAACAAGGGTCTGGCTGTGTAGGTGAAAGAAGTGGCAGGAACACAGGCAAAGATCTGTGTTGATCAGGCTACAGTAGTGCTAATATCACTGCAAGCCACAGATGTCATTTTAAATGTCCTGGTAGCTCTATTTAAAAAAAAACAACCACAGGTTAAATTAACCTTAATACATTTTATTTAACCCAGCATATATAAACATGTAATCAGTACCAAATATTGAGGTATTTTACATTCTTTTTGTGTGTGCTGTCTTAGAAATCTGCTGTGTATTTTACACTTACATCACACCTCAATTGAGACTAGTCTTATTTGAAATGACTCATATGACTAGTGGCTTCAGTACTAGTTCAGTGCTAGATAAAAATGCTCATATGGAAGAAAAACGGAGGTTCAAGTTGGAGGCAGGGGTCAAACTAGAGGGGGGTCTGAATGCCACTAAAATGGAAAGCCTTTGAAAGATTTTGAATTGATTGGAAAGTTAATCTAGCAGTTAACACAGGATTAAGAGAGATCATCCTCAATGCCACTGTAGCAATCTTGCGTTCATTTCAGTGAGGCTGTTCCACTGTCATAGCTTATCACTGGTGGTGCTGACTGCCTTTCCAAGCAAGTACTTTTGTGCCTTATCAACAGGTCTGGTAGGTAGTGAGGACTAGGATATCAAAACAGCAGTATGCAGATGCTTCCCTCTTCAGATGACACACCCTTAGGCATGGCTGGGTACTAAAAAAGGTCCTTTGACAATGGTGAAAGCTGAGATTCAGCCAGAGTATCAAACAGTGCAGACTGATGTGCCACAGGTACAACGTCAAATATGACTCAAGAGGACAAATTATCTAGTTCCTTCTAATAATAGCATGTACCCCAACTGGATTCCTTAGTATTCTTCAAAATCTGTTAGTCACTGTCCCTTTAAAAGATACCAACTCCTTGGTGGCGTGTGCCTGTAATCCCAGCTACTCAGGAGGCTGAGGCAGGAGAATTGCATGAACCCAGAAGGCGGAGGTTGCAGTGAGCCGAGATCTCGCCATTGCACTGCAGCCTGGGTAACGAGAGGGAAACTCCGTCTCAAAAAAAAAAAAAAAAAAGATACCAACTCCTCCTGCTTCCTTAAGGATCCATGCCAGCTAGCAGGTAAACCAGGTAAACCAGAGACTGCCTTGCTGATGTCTTCCTTCCTTTCTTTTTTTTTTTTTGAGACGGAGTTTCGCTCTTGTTACCCAGGCTGGAGTGCAATGGCGCGATCTCGGCTCACCACAACCTCCGCCTCTTGGGCTCAGGCAATTCTCCTGCCTCAGCCTCCTGAGTACCTGGGATTACAGGCACGCGCCACCACACCCAGCTAGTTTTTTTGTATTTTTAGTAGAGACAGGGTTTCACCATGTTGACCAGGATGGTCTCGATCTCTCGACCTCATGATCCACCCGCCTCTGCCTCCCAAAGTGCTGGGATTACAGGCTTGAGCCACCGCGCCCGGCCCCTTCCTTTCTTTATTCTTCAGGTATACATCCTAGGAAGGGATTTTTTTTTTTTTTTTTTTTTTTTTTTTTTTTGGAGACGGAGTTTCACTCTGTTGCCAGGCTGCAGTGCAGTGGTGTGATTTCAGCTCACTGCAACCTCTGCTACCCAGGATCAAGTTCTCCTGCCTCAGCCTCCAAAGCAGCTAGAACTATAGGCACACCCCAACACACCCAACTAATTTTTGTATTTTTAGTTAAGACAGTTTAACCATGTTGGCCAGGATGGTCTCGATCTGTTGACCTCGTGATCCATCCACCTCAGCCTCCCAAAGTGCTGGGATTACAGGCATGAGCCACCGTGCCTGGCCAGGCAGGGACAACTTACAGAAGGCATCCCAGCCTGGTTTTGGAAGAATGAGAGAGTTATCTGAGGGCTGTGAAGGGCCTCCTGTGCAGAGCATCTTCATCTTCCAACTTATAACTACTGAACAAATTCAGTCTTTCTGTGTAATGAAAAAAGGATGAGCCGGGTGCAGTGGCTCCCAGGAGGATTGCTTGAGCCCAGGAACAAGACCAGCCTGGGCAACATGGCAAGACCCTGTCTCTATACAAAAAAAATTAAAATATGCAGAAAATTAACAACTAAGACAGCCAACACCCTCACTAAAGCATCAATTTGCATATGAAGTTAAGTACTAAATACAAATTATCTGACTTTAAGGAACTTTGGAAACAAAAACTTTTTCCTTAAACAAGCCAATTCTTTTCTTTTTTTATTTTTTTCCTCTCAGATTTGGTCTTGTTGCCCAGGCTGAGTGCAATGGCGATCTTGGCTCACTGCAACCTCTGCCTCCCAGGTTCAAGCAATTCTCGTGCCTCCTAGCCTCCTGAGTAGGTGGGATTACAGGCCCCCACCACCATGCCCAGCTAATGTCTTGTATTTTTAGTAGAGATGGGGGTTTCACAATGTTGGCCAGGCTGGTCTTGAACTCCTGACCTCAGGTGATCCACCCGCCTTGGCCTCCCAAAGTGCTGGGATTACAGGTGTGAGCCCCAGCACCCAGCAAGCCAATTATTTTCTAACTTTCCTAGAATTCTAGCCAATATTTAATAATTGTTGCCACAATGACTTTTTATTTTTATTTTATTTTATTTTTTTTGAGACGGAGTTTCGCTCTTGTTACCCAGGCTGGAGTGCAATGGCACGATCTCGGCTCACCGCAACCTCCGACTCCTCGGCTCAGGCAATTCTCCTGCCTCAGCCTCCTGAGTAGCTGGGATTACAGGCACGCGCCACCACGCCCAGCTAGTTTTTTTGTATTTTTAGTAGAGACGGGGTTTCACCATGTTGACCAGGATGGTCTCGATCTCTCGACCTCGTGATCCACCCGCCTCGGCCTCCCAAAGTGCTGGGATTACAGGCTTGAGCCACTGCGCCCGGCAGCGACTTTTTATTTTTTTTTTTTTAAGAGATGGCGTTTCACCATGTTGGCCAGGATGGTCTTGATCTCTTGACCTCGTGATCCGCCCGCCTTGGCCTCCCAAAGTGCTGGGATTAAAGGCATGAGCCACCGCGCCTGGCCACAAAGACTTTTTAATTTCAACTTTAGTATTTATAAAAAACTACCAATTATCATGCTCACCTGATCAGCACATATACTTAAAAACAAACAAAAAAAACCCTACCAATTATCTTACCAAAAAGAAACTTGCAGTATGGAGAGGTGTATGAAACTCTCAACTCACTTCAAGACCAAAATCCTCCTCAATGACAAGTTAAGGCTGTAATACTAAAAAGTCCCTCTGAGTGCCTGATCACCTTCTCAGAATTCTACTAAGCAAGCTGTGGCAAACATTTAAGATTCCTTTTATGTCACCATTTTCAAAAGCATTGTCACTTTTTTCCAAGACACCTCTCTGAACCTGTTTTGGAACCTATGTGAGGCTATATAAATACCAGCCTCAATACTACTATGAAGATTAAACAATGAACAAAAGTGTTTTATAAGTAAGAGTGGACAATATCAGGTTTTTATTGTTTCGTTCATTAGAAATTTTCTTGGCCATCTCATGCAGGAACAGCTGGAGGAAATGGAAGAACGCCAGAAGCAGTTAAGAAGTGGGGTGCAACTCCAGCAACAGAAAAACAAAGAGATGGAGCAGCTAAGGCTCAGTCTTGCTGAAGAGCTCTCTACTTATAAGTCAGTTTCTGCGGCTACACAAATCTCATCCAACACTGGCTGAGGGGATGGTGGGAAGGGCTTAGGGGAAATTTTACTTTAGAGTCAAAAACAAAAAATGGATTTGGGAAATGATTTTCACATTGTGCTTATACACAAACACATGGAAAATGGCTCTCTTTTTATTAAAGGGCTATGCTACCCAAGAACCTGGAACAGGCTGATGCTCCCACTTCTCAGGCAGGTGGAATGGAGACAAAGTCTCAAGGTGATCCTTGTGGAGAGAAGAGTGGTGTTTGCATTGTTACTGCTTTCCTAGCTTAACAATACTAATTAACGCAAAACAAACAAACAAACAAACAAAAAAAAACACAAAAAACAAAAAAACAAAACAAACAAAAAAAAAAACCACCCAAAACAAAACAAAAAAAAACCAGGCCTGGCACGGTGGCTCACACCTATAATCCCAGCACGTTGATGGGGGCTGAGGTGGGTGGATCACCTGAGGTCAGGAGTTTGAGACCAGCCTGGCCAACATGGCAAAACCTCATCTCCACTAAAAATAAAAAAATTAACCTGGTGTAGTGGTGGGTGCCTATAATTCCAGCTACTTGGGAGGCTGAGGCAGGAGAATGGCTTGAACCAGGAGGTGGAGGTTGCAGTGAGTCGAGATTTCGTCACTGCACTCCAGCCTGATTGAGACTGTCTCAAAAACAACAAACAAAAAACCCTGCCCGGGCGCGGTGGCTCACGCCTGTAATCCCAGCACTTTGGGAGGCCGAGGCGGGTGGATCACGAGGTCAAGAGATCGAGACCATCCTGGTCAACATGGTGAAACCCCGTCTCTACTAAAAATACAAAAAATTAGCTGGGCATGGTGGCACGTGCCTGTAATCCCAGCTACACAGGAGGCTGAAGCAGAATTGCCTGAACCCAGAAGGCGGAGGTTGCGATGAGCCGAGATTGCGCCATTGTACTCCAGCCTGGGTAACAAGAGCGAAACTCCGTCTCAAAAAACAAAAACAAAAACAAAAACAAAAAAACCCTAAGTGTGTGCCTAATGACAAGGGGATAACCCCTATCTCCAAAATACCTGAGTCAGGCATTCAGAAGTTCATTTGGAATGTTTCAGTTTCTAGTAGGACTCAAAATATGCCTTATTATCACCAGGAATTCTTTGGCATCTAGGCTTTGGGCATACTTTCCTAACCCTACCCTACCCACCTGCTATTTTCAGCTTCCTTAAAATAGCAGGCAGTTGTGTTATCAAAAACAATCAACATTATCTATCCATTAATTTCCTTATATAATATTCAAACGCTGTGGTTTTGGGTGGAAGCAGAGATGTTCATATTACACAGATTCACTTTCAGACACTGACAAAACTGAAGGCATCTTTCTGACCAATCACCTATTGAGGATCCCTCCCGGAATATTTTACTGTTATGTTCTCATAAAAAGTCCCAGAGTCCCTGAAACTAAGAATAAAGTCCATGTTAAGCTGTACATTATACAGATGCCTATAAATTTATTTTATTTATTTTTAGACAGAGTTTCGCTCGTTACCCAGGCTGGAGTGCAATGGCACGATCCCAGCTCACCGCAACCTCCACCTCCTGGGTTCAGGCAATTCTCCTGTCTCAGCCTCTTGAGCAGCTGGGATTACAGGCACACACCACCATGCCCAGCTAATTTTTTGTATTTTTAGTACAGATGGGGTTTCACCTTGTTGACCAAGATGGTCTCGATCTCTTGACCTCGTGATCCACCGGCCTCGGCCTCCCAAAGTGCTGGGATTACAGGCTTGAGCCACTGCGCCTGGCCCTGTAAATTTTTTCTTAAATTTACATCAAATTCACAAGCAACTATTTAATTGTTGTTCTAATAGTCTAGGATTTTCTTTTTAAATTTATTTTTTTTTTGAGACGGAGTTTCCCTCTTGTTACTCAGGCTGGAGTGCAATGGCACAATCTCGGCTCACCGCAACCTCCGCCTCCTGGGTTCAGGCAATTCTCCTGCCTCAGCCTCCTGAGTAGCTGGGATTACAGGCACGCGCCACCATGCCCAGCTAATTTTTTGTATTTTTAGTAGAGACGGGGTTTCACCATGTTGACCAGGATGGTCTCGATCTCTTGACCTCGTGATCCATCCGCCTCAGCCTCCCAAAGTGCTGGGATTACAGGCTTGAGCCACCTCGCCCGGCCTTAAATTTATTTTTATTTAGTAGAGATAGGGGGTCTTGCTATGTTGCCCAGGCTGGAGTAGTGGCATGATCTGGGCTCACTGCAATTACCCTTCCTGGGTTTAAGTGGTATTCCTGCCTCAGCCTAAGTAGCTGGGATTACAGGTGCACACCACCACACTCGGCTAATTTTTTTGTATTTTTAGTAGACAGGGTTTCACATGTTGGCCAGGCTAGTCTCCATTTCTTAGCCTCAAGTAATCTGCCGGCCTTGGTCTCCCAAAATGCTGGGATTACAGGCATGGGCCACCATACCAGGCCTCGAGGATTTTTTTTTTTTTTTTTTTTTGAGACGGAGTTTCGCTCTTGTTAACCCAGGCTGGAGTGCAATGGCACGATCTCGGCTCACCGCAACCTCCGCCTCCTGGGTTCAGGCAATTCTCCTGCCTCAGCCTCCTGAGTAGCTGAGATTACAGGCACGCACCACCATGCCCAGCTAATTTTTTGTATTTTTAGTAGAGACGGGGTTTCACCATGTTGACCAGGCTGTTCTCGATCTCTTGACCTCGTGATCCACCCGCCTCGGCCTCCCAAAGTGCTGGGATTACAGGCTTGAGCCACTGCGCCCGGCCTCTTTTGTTTTTTGTTGTTGTTTTTGAGACGGAGTCTCACTCCTGTTGCTCAGGCTGCAGTGCACTAGCGGGACCTCGGCTCACTGTAACCTCCGCCTCCTGGGTTGAAGCAATTCTGCCTTAGCCTCCAGAGTAGCTGGGACTGCAAGCATGTGCCACCATTCAGTTCACTTTTTATTTTTGGTAGAGATGGGGTTTCACCATGTTGGCCAGGCTATTCTCGAACTCCTGACCTCAGGTGATCCACCCACCTCGGCCTCCCAAAATGCTGGGATTACAGGTGTGAGTCACCAAGCATAGCCTACACTGTGTTTTAATCCACATATGATTGACACTACGCTTAATGTTTGGGAAATTATAACCTTGCAATTGAGACAATGATCTGCTAAATGCATTTGTGTGGATCAGGTTAAAAGTACAATCCAGGCCGGGCGCGGTGGCTCACGCTTGTAATCCCAGCACTTTGGGAGGCCGAGGTGGGTGGATCACGAGGTCAAGAGATCGAGACCATCCTGGTCAACATGGTGAAACCCCGTCTCTACTAAAATACAAAAATTAGCTGGGCATGGTGGCGTGTGCCTGTAATCCCAACTACTCAGGAGGCTGAGGCAGGAGAATTGCCTGAACCCAGGAGGCAGACGTTGCCGTGAGCCGAGATCGCGCCATTGCCCTCCAGCCTGGGTAACAAGAGCGAAACTCCGTCTCAAAAAAAAAAAAGGCAATACAGAAAAGACAATGACTAATCCAAAGAACCGAAATGACAGGATTTTAGGCGTTGTAACACCTTTAAGGAGTTAATCTAGCAGAGAAAACATGTAACTATCCCACCCATCACCATCACACAGGTTACCATTCATTCTACTTCATAAATAGGAGGCATCCAAATATTCGCTAGGGGAAAGTCATTCCTGATCATCCAAAAATCACACTGCTAACAATCTCAACAAAGCCTGTACTAACTAAACTTCAGATGTTACAAACTTTCTAGTGTATTATTTTAACTTGCAGAAAGTATAAACTTACTTTTTTTCTTTCAACCTTACAGGGGCTGTTTAGAAACATATGGCCAAATCTGTAACCCAGAAACACCAAAAAACTTCTTAGAAGGTCACTAAGTACCCTTTGGACGTACTAAACAGACAAGAGTGCCAGAAACTTGGCAAGCAATCATCCTGTGAACGTTGCAAATACTGGCTGACCTACTTAAAAGATTCTGGAGTTGGCCAGAGGCAGAACACCAGTCAACTCTTTCCTGGATTCTTTTTCATCTGCTGTTGGTACTAATCTCAGTGCATCAAGGAAAGGAAAAACAAGCCTTCTGTCTTCCAGCAGCAATCCTCACATACATATGTGCTGAGTAAATGATCAATGTATGGACGCATCTTGGAGTATTTTAAAGAATGTTTATGTTGACCCAAACCAAAAACATTGAGGGGCACATGTGGAGTCAAAAGGCATATTTCCATTGCACATGGGCTTACAATTTTGCATTCTTTTGTGCCATTGAGCGTTATAAATTAAATGAATACTTTTACGAAGTTTACTTTTTGTTAAAGGATATGCTGACTCAAATAGTTTACTCTTAAAATTGTGTTAAGGTGGCTGGGTATAGTGGCTCACAGCTGTAATCCCAGTACTTTGGGAAGCGGAGGAGGGTAGATCACCTGAGGTTGGAAGTTTGACACTTTAACCTGACCAACATGGAGAAACCGTCTCTACTAAAAATACAAAATTAGCTGGGCATGGTGGCGCATGCCTGTAATCCCAGCTACTTGGGAGGATGAGGCAGGAGAATCGCTTGAACCTAGGAGGCAAGGCTGCGGCGAGCCAAGATAGCGCCACTGCAACCCTGGGCAACAAGAGCAAAACTCCGTCTCAAAAAAAAAATTGTGTCAGGGTAATTTTCACTATACTCTGAAACAACTAAACTTAAAAGAAAGCAAGCAATCGAGATTTGAACCTAATGGTTACGGCTATTCAGATTTTCCCAAAGATCTTACCTCATGAAAGTGGTTTTGGGTCAGAATGATCTGCTCAGTTAAATAACAACAAAAAACTACATGACTGTAAAGAACCAGATATTTTATCTGGTTATTGCATCTGGTGATAAAGGCTTTCAAAGCCTATTATTTCTAACCTCTAAGTAAAGGCCCCAGTGAAAAACATGCTGGGGAGGTTCAAGCACCTTTTCCAAATTTAAATTTTGCCTTAAATTCTCTCTACCAAACTGCCTTTGACACTCCTGAAAAGCCCATGTAGTTCTTTAGAGATGGACTTCAAAGAAATGTTACCTTAACAAAGACTAATCTGTGCCACTTCTGATTCACTGTTTTATGTCTTTCACCTGAATGACTCTTCTAAAGCCAGAGACTGGTGTTTGATGGATGTTTTAAACTAAATAAAACCCATCAGCATGGGGTTATGTAGAAAAGCAATTTATTCCATTTTAAGCACTTACACAGTTAGTCATGGAGAGTAACAGGCCTGCTGGTGAAACAGGTCACCCAAAATGAAGATGGCATCAAACTAGTGGTAAAGGACTAACTCCTAAAAAAAAAAGCAACTCTTATCAAGGATTAATTTAATTTTTAAAACAAATACAAGTTATTGATTCACTCTTCTCAACCTGACAGTCTACCTGTGGTGTAACTGTCAGGTAAAAACATACATCTTTACAACTTGGTGGTCCCAAGTTAAAAACAAAAACACCATTTCACAGAAAGGAAAGAAACAACATGAAGACAGCTCAAGAAATACACTAACGAGCAAAAATATATGGGGAAAGAGGAACGTGTAGTTTTGACTTAACTGAAGAAACCAAGAGGAAACTGGTCTACGTATGAAAATGTGCATCCTGCAAAGTCAGGTGTCAAGATTTGAGTAGGAATCTACGACTCGAATCTCCCCTATTTCCTGAATAAAAGTGACAAGTTTCAGTATTTATACTTCATGGCTCAGACACCTAGCTCATTTGGCTCTATTCCTTATTCATTCTAGCCTTTACTTAGAGTCTGGAAAACTTGGGGATATAGCATAAGAAAAATAATCACACATAATATTCCCCTTTCTGTAGCTACTTTAGACCTGGGTTACTAGAAAATTCCTGAAGAAAATTTCAATGTAAGTCTGTGGCTTTGCTGAATCAAACCCCCCTCCCCCATTAATATTTAGAAAACAGCCACTGTTTGGGCTAATAGCATTACTGGTGGTACCTATTATATAGAGGGATAGCTGAACAAAGTCTGTGTCTCAAAACCAGTGTTAAATCAGTCTCAGGGTTGAGAAGAAAAAAGGGGAGTCTAAAATCACAAGAAGTAAAGACATATATATCTAGGACCCTTGTCCTTCCGGATCCACGCTTCCTTCAGGGTCTTCGTCGTTATAAATGTTCTCTGCCTGCCCAAAAACAAGAAAAAGAATTTAGCAAACATGAAGACTTCATAAAATCAAGGTTTCAACAACAGATTAGGCTAGGGAAACAGACGATAAATATCGCTTTTGGGCCACACAGTCTGTGTTACAACTATTCAACTCTGCCGTTGTTGGACGAAAGCAACCTACAATGGGTATGAAATATTAATTAGCATGACCATGTTCCAATAAAAAGACAGCTGGTCCACAGGCCAGATTGGGATATTCCCACAAAACCGAAGTGTGGATACTATTTGTCTTCATAACCAACATTCTTGAGTTCTTTAACCAGACATTATTATTATTTGAGATGGAATCTTACTCTGTAGACCAGGCTGGAGTGCAATGGCGTAATCTCAGCTCATTACAACCTTTGCCTCCTGGGTTCAAGCAATTCTCCTGCCTGACTCCCGAGTCACTGCGATTACAGGTGCATGCCACTATGCCTGGCTAATTTTGTATTTTCTTTTTTTTTGAGATGGAGTTTCACTCGTTACCCAGGCTGGAGTGCAATGGCACAATCTCGGCTCACCGCAACCTCCGCCTCCTGGGTTCAGGCAATTCTCCTGCCTCAGCCTCCTGAGCAGCTGGGATTACAGGCACGTGCCACCATGCCCAGCTAATTTTTTTGTATTTTTAGTAGAGTCGGGGTTTCACCATGTTGACCAGGATGGTCTCGATCTCTTGACCTCGTGATCCACCCGCCTCGGCCTCCCAAAGTGCTGGGATTACAGGCGTGAGCCACCGCGCCTGGCCCAATTTTGTATTTTTAGTAGAGATGGGGTTTCACCATGTTGGCCAGACTGGTCTCAAACTCCTGACCTCAGGTGATCTGCCCACCTTGGTCTCCCAAAGTGCTGGGATTATAGGTGTGAGTGAGCCACTGTGCCTGGCCTAACCAGACATCATTAATAAGAACCAAAAAGTAATAACAATCCAAATATTCATCAACTAACAAATGTATAAATAATATATTGAATCCAATATAAGGGAATATTATTTGGCAATAAAAAGCCAGTCAGGCCAGGTACGGTGGCTCACGCCTGTAACCCTAGCACTTTGGGAGACCAAGGCAGATGGATCACATCAGGTCAGGAGTTTGAGATCAGCCGGATCAACATGGTGAAAGGCTGGGGCATGAGAACTGATTGAAGCTGGAAGGTGGAGGTTATAGTGAGCCAAGACTGCACCACTACACTCCAGCCTGGGCGGCAAAGTGAGACTGTGTGGCAAAAAAAAAAAAAAAAAAAAAAAAGTTACATAGTTTATGATTTTATTTATATAAGGTGTCCAAAATAGGCAAATCCAGATTGGTGGCTGCTTAGGGCTGGGGGAATATGAGCAAAAGAGGAAATGATGGCTAATGCGTACAGGGTTTCTTTTTAAAATGAATTTTCTCAAATTGTGGTGATAGTTGCACAACTGTAAATACACTGTAGACTACTGAACTGCACACTTAAAATGGGAGTACAAGTCAATTCTATTCTGACACTACCTCAAGTTAGCTTTGGACAAGACTGTCCCTACTTCAGAGGCCAGTTACAAGTCCTTGACACCAGGCTACCTATACATTGTATCCCATCAGGCTACAAATTTCAGGGTTCTCACTACTGCCTCCTCAGGTCTAAAAATTTGATGGAATGACTCATAGAATCCAGAAGCTTTTTTACTATTACTGTTTTTTAAATAAAGGATGCAACTGAGGAACCACAGGAAAGATGTACATAGTGCAAGGTAGGGAGGGGCTGCAGAGTTTCTATGAAGTCTCCAGGCACACCACCCTCCTAGCATGTCAATGAGTTATTCAGCAACCTGGAAGCTCATCAAATTATTATTATTATTTTTTTTAAAAAAGAGCTTCACTCTTCTTGCCCAAGGCTGGAGCACAATGGCTCAGATCTCGGCTCACTGCAACCTCCACCCACCGCACCCTCTGCCTCCCAGGTTCAAGGGATTCTCCTGCATCAGCCTCTCAAGTAGCTGGAACTACAGGCATGTGCCATCACGCCTGGCTAATTTTATATTTTTAGTAGAGATGGGGTTTCTCCATGTTGGTCAGGCTGGTCTCAAACTCCTGACTTCAGGTGATCCGCCTGCCTCAGCTTCCCAACGTGCTGGGATTACATGTGTGAGACACCATGTCCAGCCCAAATTAAGAGTTTTTATAGAGCTCAATCTCTAGCCCTGCGATCCCACGGTTGATGAGTGGTGCCAACAAATTTTACTCTCAAATCAAGTATTTGGCCTTTCTGATTAAACCCACTATGAGGCTATCTAAGGGCCCCACAAAAATCACCCCACAGTAGAACAAACTCAGGTGTGGTCCAGAGTGGATCATTAGGAATGACAGACACTCCTAGCACTCTGCAAACTCGAAGTGTTTTTGAGGAGCTCTTTTCCAAGAAGTGGGACAAAGACCAAACATTTACTTAATCTACCACAATGTTAAAAACACCAAATAAAGTTAACAACCCGGAATGGGGGTGATGGCCTTGCAGCGATCTAGTTTAACCTTGAATCTAATTTTTTCTTTTTTTTTTTTTGAGGCAGGGTCTCCCTCTGTCACCCAGGCTGGAGTGCAGCGGTGCAGTCTTAGCTCACTGCAACCTCTGCCTCCTGGGGTCATGCCATGCTCCCAATGAGCTGGGACTACAGGTGTGTGTCACCATGCCCAGCTATTAAGTTTTTGTATTAATACTGAATAGATTTATTACAAAGAGAGTGAGGTGAATTTTCTGTTTTCTTGTTACACATTTAACGTATCTTTTTTGTAAAACAAAAAAAAAACCACGATACAGAATGGTAAAAAGAAAACAACAGCATTTTAACAAACAGCATTTTTTTTTTTTTTTTTGGAGACAATTTCACTGTTATTGCCCAGGATCTGGAGTGTAAAGGCGAGATCTCGGCTCACCACAACCTCTGCCTCCTGGGTTTAAGTAGCTGGGATTACAGGTGCCCGTCACCACACCCAGCTAATTTTGTATTTTTAGAGATGAGGTCTCTCCATGTCGGTCAGGCTGGTCTCGAACTCTTAACCTTACATCATCTGCCCACCTCGGCCTCCCAAAGTGTTGGGATTATAGGCATGATGGAATTACAGGCATGAGCCTGGCTAGCAAACAGCTTTCTAAATATAGCCTAGATACACAATTTTTTTTTTTTTTGAGATGAAGTTTCGCTCTTGTTACCCAGGCTGGAGTGCAATGGCGCGATCTCGGCTCAC